CCAACGTGGTGCTTGAAGTAGGGTCACCTGCAGGCCTTTTGGAGTCTACTGAAAAGATGTAGATTCTGATTCACCTGAAGATGAAGCACCTGCAACCTGTAACAGTTTCTTGCCGAAGGTATACATTTCTTAAAAGCACATTTTCCTGGAGGCAGAAATAAAAGAATGATTAGTGTTTGTTAACCTGCAGTAAACAGGAATCTATCAAGTACAAGTTCAATGAGTATAAAACTTTCATTTAAAATCCTTTGAAAGGTAGGTGAGACTTCGCCTATTGCACTAGTTCAGTTTTTGAGGGAAACTATGGTAAAGGTTTGGCCTCATGACTTAAAGATCATGAAATCAAATCCCACTAGGGGCTCTTGGGGGTAAGGATTTCCTTATCCTTCCCTCTTACTCTCAATGAGTCTGACCTGCGAGACAATATAGACATGTGACAAACAGGTGCCAATTCAGAAAAATTCCATCTTCTTACCGTAAAATAAATAAACAAAAATAAAATTCAGTAATGTACAGTTTTCCAACTTCCAAGTTTCTTAGTCACTTTGTCATTTGTACATAGTGTGTGAAATGTAACATTTCTGCACCTGCATATATTATCAGACTACAAATATGGATTAAAAAAAAAAACCTTTAATCCTCATAAAATTCAATAGGTTGATTTCAAGCTTAATGCATGGATGTCTAGAAATCGAATGCACTAGGCCAAGTGTCACGGTCCGAGTGTTCTGACACCGGATCGTGCGGCGCGCTCTTGTTTATCGGCGATAATGACGCAAGCCTAGAATGAGAGAGGTTCGTGAGCACACAGCAACACGAACCAAAGGTATCTCAAGAAAGCACACGTCAACAACGGGTGCGGAGCCGGGGCTTGTGACGGCCGATACTTCGAAGCGGGCACAAGCGGAACCGACGAGATGAAGGAGTCTTTTGAGGGTCTCTTGGTTTGGTGGGGATGCTTTAAAACAAGGCAAGCACAATATCGATAAAGGCTTAAAACAACGCACAAGTCTTAAAGCAATAGCAACGGGGTAGGGAGCTTTGATTCATTAACCATCACTTCATCTAGAGTCTAGAAAGCAAAAAGAAAGACTTAAGACACTACATAAGGGAAAATACAAGGAAAAGAAAAGGGAATACATAGAGAAAGAGGCGGATTCTAACACCAAGACACACCTTATGATTTCAATTTTATGAAATGTGATATTAAGCTCCTATTGCACAAGATACAACATATGATTTCAGTGGGAATTACTCGATCTAACACGGAAGGAGAAAAGATCTACAATTTGATCCATTTCTTTGCACAAAAGTAAGGGCAAAGCAGCAGCATACTACAGCTTCAAAGCAGAGGCATTATTTCATCTCCGATGGGAATCGCTTACATTTAGAGATCTTGTAGAAAATCATGAGTAGCGGAAACATGGATGTGCGGAAGTACCTCAAGAATGATCATGATCAGAACGGATCAGAGACCTGTAGCATGTATTGCCTTTGAACATCAAAGTAAAGAGTCTTGCTCTTTGCCTTCCTGAATAATATTTGTAGTACAAATGCACAATGTCAGAATGTATTGCCAACTCTATGTCACAACTGAATAATCAAATCCTACCTGAAAGCAGAGGATGAGATCCCAAAGAAGAACTGCAACACACTTTGATTCACATGGAAGAGACCTCTGTCTAACATGTTTGCGAACATTAACCCACTCATCCTCTTCTGGCCCAAATCCAAAAAAAACAAACTAGAACTTCCTGAAACCCATAAGTTTGGAAAGTTGATACAGATCATACTGGAAAGGCATTATTCGTCACAAAAGCTATGTAATTCAGACACGGGTGCGAGTTTTGAGTATGAGTACATTCGAGTTTTAGACACGCAAAGATTAAAATTTAGGACATGTATGCACAGACAAAGCATTAGTGAAACACATTCCTGGATCTAAACAACTTCTCCATATCAATTCACATTACAAATAGACACATGTATTAGACTTTATGTTTTCTTTCCTTCTATTTTATAGTTTTTCTCTAAGAGTGTGTTTTGATTGAAGGAAATGGAGGGAAAAGAAGGGAAGGGGAATGGAGGGATTGAATTTCTTTCATTTGGATAACATATGAGGAAGGAAGGGAATTTGGGGGGAGGGAAAAGAAGGGGAGAGAAATGGAGGGATTAAGTTGTAAGAATTTGGTCTCTCCAACAATGGACAGATTTGGAAGGAAAACTCATAATTCTTCCCTCCCCCAACCCCCCTCTTTTTTTCCTTCCCTTTTCTATATCCAAACAAACTGTAAAAGTATGTTAATCAAGATCCTTCTGGAATCTGGATCAAAACAAAGTGATGGATAAGGATTTCATACCCTTGTTGCAGTGTCGAGTGTCGACACAAAAATGCAAGACAAATAGAAGAGTGATAAAATAGACAAGAAAACTATGATAATGCTACTTCTAGATTATTCAACACATATCTGACAAAGAGTACAAGTTTATCAACAACAAGATTATCACAGTTAGGATTTCACAAATGAGCCAAGATGTAGAGGTAAACCCCCTAAACTAGTACCAACTCTGAATAGGAGCCAAGTTATATCGGGTTTATTATAAAGCACCATGACCAAAGACCAACAACAAATAAAGCAAGATGACCAAAGACCAACAACAAACTAGACATACCTCATCATGGATCCACCGGAGAACCAAGTAGGACTCAGTTAACTAATATCATAAATATATATTGACTCGTGTAACTGGAAAACCAATTATATTATAATTTCCAAGTTATTAAGCTTTGATGTATATGCAAATTTATAAGGTAAATATCAGGATATTTTAAAGAATGTTGAGATAAATTAATTAAAGTTTGCTGCATATCTTACTTGATTCCAAATCGCTCCAGAAGTTATTCTATTGTTCAGAATAATAATTAAGGTAAGCTATTTCGTGAATCCTGATTAAAGATTATCATCAAGATTATAAAACAAACTGAGATAAGAGGAAAAAGAAAGGCTAGCTAAAAGGTATTAAAAAATTTAAAAATTTGTTAGAAAAGGACTTTATAAAGTAGACCTTTTGTGAGAAAATTCCTTTAAAAAAAATAAAAAATAAAAAATAAAAAGTGGCAAATAAAGACCTTAAATGAATTGCTTGATTTTTCCAATGTTGACCCTCACGTGCCCTTTCTCTTCCTCAACCACCATGCCTACTAGCCCACCACCCATCACCAACCCACCACTATCCACTCTCACCCGCCACCCGAAACACTGTATCACCTTAACCTTGCATCTTACTCATCCCTCACTTTTAACACTCTTGTCCTCTACTCTTTTTTTTTTTTTTTTCGCCAAAACCAACAGCCAAATATCCCTTCCCACTTATTACAAACCATCGCTACCCTTGACTGCCACCCAAACACCACCCCGTAAACCCTTATATCTCCCCTTCTTTTTCCTCCCTTAATACCCACCATTGTAGCCACATTGTGCCTTCACTACACCTCATAAATTTGCTACCTATTGGTGACCCATCATACCCAGAAGCCTCCCACACAACACTTTTATTCTATCTCCTCTTTATTATCCCCATTTGGTAGCGGCATCCTTCTAACTCATGATAGAAAATAAGGGGTTTACATTTGATTCAATTGATTTTATATGGTTGGTGGAAGGGAAGAAGTTGAAAGAGATAGTGTTGAGACGAATAGCTAGATAAGGTGATGGTGGTGAGAAAGTGGCAAAATGGTGACAATTTGGTGGTGGGCATTATGGCTACACTAGAAATGGAAGGGCATAAACCGACTCTGAAAATAATAGTCAAAGGTCGGAATCTGGGTGAAGGTCCCTTTTCACAACAAAATTTTCATTTTAAGGTCGGAATTTGGTCATTTTCCAATAATTGCCCAAAAACTTGTATCTTTCGATCTATTAAAAAAATTTAAAATCTTAGGAATTAAAAGATTCAAACTAAAATCACCTTCTTCATACTTGCCTCTAGAGTCCATACCCATCTTTTAGGCTATGTTTGGATAACAAAAAATGGAAAGGAAGGGAAGGGAAAGGGAGGGAGACAAACTTCCTTGTTTGGATAATATGTTGGGGGAGGGAAGGGGAGGGGGAAGGAGGGATCCATTTTCCCTCCTCCTTTAATAAAGACCATCCCTTCAAAATTGGAGAGATTTGGAGGGAAAATGGAGCTCATCATTTCCTCCACTTTCCCTTCCTTCCCCTTCCTCCTATTTCCCTCCCTTCCATTTCCCTTCTAATTTGTTATCCAAACATAGAATTAGTGTTGTTATCACTCACCACCACAAGAAGTGATTTAAAACAAATGTGGGGGCAAAAGTTTGAAATTGCAAATGCCCCCACTCCCTAAGGGAGGAGGACTACAGAATAAAATGGCAATGGGGAAAATGGGAAGAAAAGTGAATTAAAAGACATATTCTCATAGTCTCTTCGTTATTTTAGAAATTAATACCAAGTCTTTCTTGTAATTATTTCACAATGCAAATGACAATAAGGCCAGGAAATTTACTTTTTTCTCCAATTCTATAACTGAGTAATGAAAATGGAATAAGGGACTACCAAACACTTGCAGAATTACCAATCCTAAGATATCTATGAGAATAAAATGCTTGGACATTATACCTAATAGGCTAATAGATAGAGATTTGCTAGAAATTAGCATGGTTTCTGGCAGATTGCAACTCTAAATATGGCAGAAATTAGGGAAGAACAATGATGATTATATTGATAATAGGTGAATTACACTAATTGAAGGCTAATTCCACTTTCGAGAGGTGGATTCTCTCCTAATATGAGCTTTCGAGAGGCTCACTCTCTCCCAATAACATAACCTCAATAATATTCAACATCCTCCTTATTCCTCCTAATGAGGTCTATTTATAGAAAATACCCCTAACAAACCTCTAGCTTATTCCCCAAGTTACTACTAATAGACAATGACTAATGTGCCCTTCCCCTAAATATTGATTCCTTACAAGAATCAACCAATAAATGAATAATATAAATATATTCAAATACCAAAAGATTAATTATGTAATACTACCAATATTTAGATAGGAGATCTATTTACCATGCCCCATCCCTAGCAGATTTGGCATTAAGGATTTCCAGATGTATTTTTTGTCACATTATGACCTACAAAAAAAATACTAGGACTTGTAAGATAGTAAGGATGTAAAGAGCATTATAACATTGTACATACTTTTTGAAAGAGCACGTAGCTCCATAAAGACACTCAGATAAATCACTGACTGACAAACAAAATGCAATAATAAAAAAATTAAAAAAAATTTAAATAAAAGCCAAGGACAATTAAATAAACATGGAAAATATACATCAATTATACAAGACATGACTACTCTATAAGTGATGCAGATAATGTAGAATTAAACTACTAGTCCATAAATCCAAAGAAATAATTTCCCGCACCAAACTAGCCTCTAAATCTGGCTTCATTCACATCACAGATAAGAACAATTGCCTTGGTTCATATAAAGGGAGATAAAGGGGAGAGAGGGAAATAGAAGTGAGGGAATCTAAGAATCTCAGCATTAGCTTAAGAAGTAAATAGAAGAGGAGGAGATAAAATGACAATGGAAGGAACACAATTCCCTACTTGATACATCTGTACTAACCACTCAAAAGAGGTGTATAGAGTGACATAAGGCACTCCAGTTGCTACTTCTCAACCTCAGACCTTGCCAAATTCAGGTCCTGAGTATTCCTTCAAAGGAACAGATTAATGTTGCCTGATCACAGAGTAAACAAAGTCCCGAGATCTCCTTTCAAAGGAAGACAAAAGAGAGGTTTAAAAAGAGCCTATATTAAATACAGGGAAGGAAACAGAAGTACTTATAGGTATCAGCCAGATATTATTAAGACTGACTAAAGAAGTCAAAAGGTTGGTAAGAGAAACTCAAACTTTTTCTCACCTTGACAAAAATAGTGGTCGGAGAAAATGACAACTGGCTCCAGAAAGAAAGCCTGCGAATCTTCGATCACACACAGACAAGTACTTGGTCGTTCAGCAAGTTATTCAACAAGGAGATTGAAAGCCACGCACAACAAACTGGACCATAAGACTATCTGCCTCTTTGATATTTCCATCTAATGTCAGTTTCTTGCTCACTTTTTTACATAACTTTGGATCAGGTATTAAGTTCCGCCTAAACATCCTACAAGCAACTTTGTATGCCAAAAGAGGGTTTTCTCTGTTCAGATAACTTTGCAGAAGCACATGGCAAGTTTGAGCATCGATCCTTGAAGCCGTTCTCAGAACTTTACCCAGAAGGCTGTAAGCTTCAGTTACATACCCGAATCTACAAAGCTTTTCAATAACTTGATTATAAGCAGTCTGGTAGGGCTGCTTTGGCAGCAACTTCTCCAACAGTTTTAACAAATCTTCCACCCTGCCATTCTGACAATAGCGATGAATTATCATTCGGTACATAACAGGATTTGGATGTATGCCCCTCCCCAGCATTTTCTTTATAAGTTCAGTTGCCTCTTCAAATTTTCCTCTTCTGCCCATTGCATCAACAATTGTTGTATATGTCACAATGTCAGGGCTCTTGTTGACCAAATACATATCATCAAGTAAAGAAAGAGCACCATCCAAGTCATCCTTCTGAAAATGTCCTTGTATAACAGTTGTAAAGTTTACAACATTTACATCACATCCCTTGCTCAGACACTCTTGCATGAACTTTTTAGCCTCATCTGTTCTTCCTTCTCTGCACAACGATACAAGCAACAAATTGATTTCAGCAGGATTTGGACGTAAACCTTTCATCAACATTTCCCTAACCACATCACATGCCTCAGACAATTTTCCTGCTCTTTGGAAACCATGCATCACAACACTGTATGTGATGGCATTAGGGGTCCACCATTCCTCCTCACTCTTATCAATCATGTCTCGAGCTTCTGAAATTCGACCAATTTGACAAAGGCCTTTCAGCAAGGTTGTGTATGATACAGTGTTTGGTTTGTAGCCATTCTTGTACATTTGCTGAAGCTTTTTCTTAGCCTCATCCACCCTCCCCGCTCTACAAAATCCATTTACAACAGCACTGTAAGTCACTACGTCTGGGATGCAGTTTTTCTCAAACATCTCATCAACAATTTCTTCTACCCTGTCTATCCTTCCCTCCCGACATAAAGAGTGAACCAAAGCAGTGTAACCAACTTTGTCCACCCGAAATCCTCTCTCCTGTGCTTCCTTTAAGAAACCATAAGCCTCATCACTGTGTCCATACTTGCAAAGCATATGAATGAGATTATTATAGGTGACCATATCTAGCAACAAGTTACAAGCCATCATTTTCTCAAGTAGGACCTGTATCTCAGAAATGTTTTTCTCCTTACAAAAGTAATTTATTACTGTATAAAAGCTAACTTTATCAGGTGTGCATCCCCTTAGAGGCATATCCTCAATCAACTTGATAGCATCTTGCACCTGATTAAAATTACAATAACCTTTAATTAAGCAGTTATATGTAACAACATCCGGGGCAATTCCAACAATTTGCATCCTCTTTAAAAATCTCAATGCTTTGTCCAACCTGTTTCCCATCACTAAAACATGTAGGGCAGTGTTACATATAGATAGATTAGGTTGAACCCCAGCCATATGCATCATTCTAAGAACCCCCATAGCATGTCTTACTTTCCCTGCCCTACTATAGGAAATCATCAAGTAGCGAAAAACTTCTGGGGTGCGACGGATACCCCTCCTACGCATAAGAAGAAGGATTCTCCGAGTACCCTCACATAATTTAGTCTTGCCGAGAATTTGAAGCATAGCATAGTACACAACTGGGTCATGACGATAACGCCATTGCCTGTCAGCCCAATAGAAGAACTCTAAAGCTACCCTTTCATCATCTTGAGAATGAAGAACAGCACAAACTTGACGGGGTTTGAGACTTCTCAATAAATTCTTCATCTGGCCTTCAAGGTCAGGGTTCCAAGTCAATCTCAGCCCAACCAGCCTACAAATTTCTCTCACCAATGGATGCCTTAATTCACTTTCATCAATTTCATATCTTCTATCATACTCCCCACTTTGCTGACAATTCTTATTATATAAATCCAAGACCCCAAATTCTTCATCTTTAACATATTTCTGTCTACTCTTTGTGCCCTCTATATCAGCTTCTTCCTCGTCAGACCATTTCTCACTTAAGGAATGGCTTAAACAACTCCCAAAAGAACTCATGAGTCGTATCCATGCCCTTCCCTGAGCCAGGGCAGGAGGGGCAACCACCCGGAGAAAAGGTCCAATTACATAGTTCCGTCTAAACATTTAAGGGTTCTGCATAGCAACCAAATTCGATTCGACTATCAAATTAGGCTTGAAATATCACATGATGTTAGGAAAAAAGGGTCCAATTTAATAGTTCCATCTTACCATTAAAGGGTTCTGCATAGTAACCAAATTTGATTTAATATCAAATTAGCTCAAAAAAACACATGATTTTAGGAAAAAGGGATCCAAATTTATAGTTCTGTCTTAACATTAAAGGGTTATGCAAAACATTATCAACCAAATTTGATTCAATTATCAAATTATGCTCGAAAAATCACACAATTTAGGGAGAAAAGGTCCAATCAGGCCCGTCCCTGAGGCAGAGCATGAGGGGCAACCGCCCTAGACCCAGGGTAAAGAGAATTGAAATCATATTGAATTATCTCGAAAAATAGAAAATTTTAGGGATATTTGATTCAATAATCAAATTACGCTCATAAACTTCTTATCTTTTGGATATGATGTTTCATAATCTAAGAATTTACGAGCCCTAAACTTAAAGCACTGATAATTAAATTAGATTGGACCAAATATAAACCCTAGATTGTGAAATTGATATGATGATGACAACAACAAACAACTTACCTTAGAAGCTGCTTCAATGGAGGATACAACGATAAGATTCAACGGAGAAAGCTTCATTGTAGAACGTTGAGTGCGCTTCAACGAATAACTGAGAGTCTGAGAGAGGTAGGATAGGAAATAGGAACGGAGGCCTTTAAAAGCCATCACCCGCCATAGTTATAATATGGGTTAGATCCGTCTGATAAATAAATGGGCGGATCTTTATATCATCAATATGTTATGAAAATATTGTGTGGATATCCATTATCCTCTTTGTAAGTTTCAGGATTATTCTATATCTAGGGTTTATTGTTATCTAAGCAAACCCTACTTATTATATTATGTGTATATATACCCCTAATATATGGAATAATATAGACAGATCAATTCTCTCTCAATCTCTCATCTTTCCCCCTTATTTCACAATACGTTATCAGCACCAAAGCTCTAAATGATTAATAATTCTTTTGATTCATATACATATACATAATTGCTTTTCGATTTGATTGACAGTTCATCGTATGCAAGAAAGTTATCTGGGTTTAGCAATATATTGTACTTCCTTCTTGATCTTTGTCTCGTCGATTGGGTGTCGTCTCAAGCAAAAATATATGATAAAACAAAATCAACCCTACCCGGCTAAGGAGACGAGTTTAATAGCAAATTTACGGGTATCCCTATATTCTTTTCTCCATATTTTATTGAATTTGTCAGATTATTGTCTTTCTTAAAATAAACTAATTAATTATAGGGTATTAGACTAGTCATGTGATTGATTAATTTATATGCTCTGTTTTTGATGAATGAAATATGAAGTTCGTTAGATATGGGATATTGCTATTGATTTGTTTCAGCTAAGTTGTCGTATTTGAATATATCTAATATTGTTTTGTTTCGGCTAATTTGTCTTATTTGAATATCTATAATTTTGGAGAATGATATTAGCTGATGGTTTCATCATCAATCTCCGTCAAATTATGTGATGATCTAATGTATACATGTTGCTTTCAATTGTATCTGGTTTACCACCATCATAGAGTGTTCAAGTGTATTAGTTATGAACTGTTTTAATAGTTGTAGATTATATTTTTTTGGATTTAGATAAGTTCCAATAAAATACATAAGATGTTAATTAAACCCTTCTTAAAGTTTGAACATTAGATATATGTTATAGGATTTAATGAAGACTCGAGTACTTTTATACTATCATAAACCTGAGAGTTTTTCCTTCATCACTTCTTTAGTTCCCTTTGAAGTCGAGTGAGTATCAAGAAAGTGTGATTTTGAGAAAATAATGATTGTTAATCCATGTGATAAACTATGTTACAAAGTATTAGAATTGCATTTGGTTGAATGAATTATTCCATTGGTTTAGGTTGACTACAAGAATAATCTTAGTTTTACCTTGTATAAGTTTTGTTGCTTCTAATTGTTTACTTTGTATTTGGTTTTGTATAAAGTATAGCAAACAAATTATGCTATTATTATTGTTTTTATTTCGTGATTATGCCTACTCATTGGCTCATTGCTATCAAACTTAATTAGCTTTATCACATGATTTTGTTATGTTTATGTGATATGTTTATTATTAATAATCTAAGATTATCTATTATTCATCATCATGATAATCTACTATAAATATATTTATCTAAACTAGATCCTAAGTCTTTATTTATAATATTTTTCTCATGGTATATGTTTATATCTTATACTACATATTGTAGATGACATGTGTTTTTACATAGGTTTAAATGTTTAATTCTAAAGAAATTTAAATTAATTTTGATTTATTATGGAGTATTGTTACGATATAATTTCCTAATTATATCTCAAAATTAGAGGATATACTTCACCATATTAGGAGATATTGATAAATATTGTGTACGTAATCCCAAGTGATAATTAGATGAAATATATGTAAACTAGGAGTAGATTGATTATGCACACGTAATCCTTGGCTTGAATCAAGGACACGCTTATGGAGTATTGTTATCACTTGTATATTTAGACAGTGAAGTGGAATAAAAGAAAAAAGGCAGAGAAAATATTGTGGAAAATTTCTTAACAGGTATACATAATATTTAGTTATATAATATGCCTAAGCTAACTGCTCAAGAAGTCTTAATTTGATCAAATTATGTGATTATGATGAGTATGGATTAAACATCATGGATTATTTTTATAGTAATGTATTGAGGTCTTTAACGATGATCGTAATATTTATTAAGCCCATAAATATAAGAGGTTTCGTTTTTTTTAAGATGAATGTTATTGGGCATGAGGAACATGATAAGTGTTCTATAAGTATAATTTTATATAAGAATGTTTTTGCTAAAAGGAACACGTTACTTGATACATGACATTGCCAAAGGATTTTAAAGGTTGTTGGATTGATTCATTCCATACCCCCATATGCAAGGATTAGGGGGAGATTGTAAGTAATTCTTGCATATAAATAATAAAATATATTGATGGTCAGTTTGGAATATACTTATACTCAAATATTAACTATTTACTTAATAGAAGTGGCCACATGCATATTATTTAAATATTTTTAAATGATACCATCTTGAAGATGGATATAAATGATTGATCATATACTAATTATAAATGCTCCAATTAAATTATTGTCCCAGAAGGACAATATCGGTTACTAATGAACTTAAAACACGTCTGAAGCGTTGCAGTCTAATAGAGTTAAAATATAAGAACTTTTGGAAAAGAAATGGAGCATCTATTAGACAAATTTGAGGAAATGATAAATCTCATTACATTTTTAGAATAAAATCACTTTTAGTAAAATTCATATGTTCCATGATTATGTAAAAGGCTCAAGAAGAGTATGAAATGTCCAACAAGATTAACATGTATCAAGATTATAGTCAAAACTCCAGCAGAGTATATATAAGTAATTATTAGATAAAATATTAATTAGTCAATTGTCTTGCCAATTGTATAAAGAAACACATGTTGGTGTTCTAACATCACATCACATTCATGGCCATGCACATAGTAAGTTTAATAAAGTGATCACTAGTGTTGAAAACTTACCAGAGTTCAAATTTAGAGAAGTGATTGGATGTGATAATTAAATTAGGCCATCCGAGTTTAATAATAATTACCCGTCATGGAAACCTGAAGTTTCATTTGATAATGTGCTGACGCTTTCTCAATGTTAAATATATAAAATGAATTGAATGGCAAGACGTAACATTGAGATTGAGTTATATTTGGATTGTGAGTTATAATAATTTGTATTGATGGAAATTTCAAGATTTAATATGTTTTGATTTTTTATATAAAGGACTAATGGCTGACCAGAATTTCACCAAAATAACTTATATATTATTGTTAACTATCAAGTGATCAGAAGCTCACCAAATACACTATTTAAGTCTTAAAGATCCAGAAGATCATCACCTACTAGAATTATGAGCAAGTGATTTATGCTTGTATAACAATTCTTTTGATTGGGGCTATTATATGTTAGCACATATGAAATAGGAGAAGAAAGAAAAACGTACAACTGCACAACCCATATCTCCCCATTGACATTATTTTCAGAAGATATTATGAAAAGGGTAATATATAATAAATACACATGCAATGTAAAATTAATGAAGAAATGATTCTTCATTGAATTTGTTCTCCAGAAGAGATGAAACTTGTTTAATACAAATCTTCTGTGAAATTAATATTGATTGTGATCCTCCTAATGAAGTGAATTTTATTAATGCAAATTTGTCTACTAAGTTGGTATATAATAAGACGCCCCTATAAATGAGATATTTTACCAACTTAGGGGGAGAAGAAGAATTAGCAAAAGTTGGAAAAATTAATAAAAAAAAAAATATGATCCCTATAATAGTAGTTTGAAAAGTTATATGCCAACTTTTGTATATATATTATCAAGATATGTTGCACATTTATGATTTGATTTGTATTCAGTTATGACTCATGTTGCATAGCGTTGAAGATACATTTTGGTCATATTAATTATGTGTATACATTGAGATAGAATCTTGCCAATTATACTTGAATCACTACACCTAAAGTGAAGATTGTATGATCGGTTCCAATTAAAAAATATATATATATATATATAATGATATGTCTAATAGATATGATATTTGGCAAGATAGTGCAGTTGACACTAATAGTGTAATAGTATATAAATACCTTAGTGTATGAAATACCCTAAAAGTGGTATAGATATCTGAATTATTATAATAGATGGTGTATGATGTAAGAAATTTATGATGGTACCAATGAGAAATGTATTCAGATATCATAGTAAAATAGCATGCGAAATGTAAGTTAAAGGAATTTTATGATACCGGTACACAATGGAACCGATGAATAATATGCATATGCATAATGGAATGGACTAGTGAATAAGAGATCTGAAATATATGTACATTTTGATGTCGACATAATGAAATGATCATAAGTTTATCATGAACCCGAAGTCCAATGAAATATGGATTTTTAAATCCACACTGTACAGTGTTTTGCATCATTTTGAGTCTTATATTCATGTACATGTAAGTCATAAGTTAATGGTTTATTGCATATGTATGAAGTTGTTAGATGTATTACTCACTGTATATTTTGTTTAATATGTTAATATGTTATCATGTGTTCTATATCTCATATTGTATGCATTAGTTTCTTACCATGACTGTCGTTTATGTGAATGTTCATTCAAAGTATAGTAAGACATATTTACAACTTTGATGAAAATTAGAAAGAGATATTTATATTCCAACGGGCTTATAATTATTGATGACACTGATTTAATTGCATGTTATGAATCATGTAAGATGAGTTCCTGAGAACTTATATACGACATATTTAAATATCCAGGCCTACAAAGTTTATATTCTTGAATATTGCAATTACTAACAAACTCTTGAAAATTCAATGTAACTACATCATTGACATCTCAACCTGAAGTTGAGCATATGAGAGTTAATGAGATTTACTACTTGTATTTGTAAGAGAGCTATCGTGTCAATTATGAAACATCTAAAGAGTATCAATGGAATACTTATGCGTGAGAATGTTTTCTTATGGTCCAGAAGAACCATGATTAACGTATATAATTACATGTGTTATATTATAATTCATATGAGATTGAAAAATGACATTAATAATATCAAGCTTTTCATCAAATTATTATTAATGAATGTTTGATCAAATAATGATCATCAATAACGACTTCCAGAAGAAGTCATAACCGCATAAGTTTAACCTTTAAATCAACTGTTAAACAGAGACTTGAAATATTGATATTAGAGATAAACACATGTATGGTGAAATGAAGACACTTCACATGTTAACGTGAAGACTTGAAGATGCAATTTCAGTTTAGGAGGATCGAAGATCATATCAATAAGTGATATTTTACTGCATATGAGAAGATATACAACATATTGGATTCATTGTTGCGGCACTAGAAGATCTCAAGTTATGTATTCATCAGGGGGAGAAAATACGCGCTGCACTCTTTTTCCCTTGACCATGGTTTTGTCCCACATTGGGTTTTCCTGGTAAGGTTTTTAATGAGGCAGCATCTCGAGCGTATTTCGAAGAATGTTGTACTCTTTTTCCTTAATTAGGTTTTTATCCCATTGGGTTTTTCCTATTAAGGTTTTAACGAGGCACAATATTCGATAATGGACATCCAAGGGGGAGTGTTATGAAAATATTGTGTGGATATCCATTATCCTCTTTGTAAGTTTCAGGATTATTCTAGATCTAGGGTTTATTGTTATCTAAGCAAACCCTACTTATTATATTCTGTGTATATATACCCCTAATATATGGAATAATATAGACAGATCAATTCTCTCATCTTTCCCCCTTATTTCACAATACAATAATCAATAATCATCAATTAATAAATATAAAAAGTTGACTTAAATAATTTTTACCCTACTGTGTCCTTGGATTTTTTTTTTTTTTTAAATTTCCTTTTAGAAAATATTTTGTAAGTAAAGTTTAAAGAGGTTAAAAAAAAAGTTAACTTAAATATAAATAAGAAATAACAACCTAAATTGTAAAAAAAAAAAAAAAAAAAAAAAAAACAACCTAAGGGCCTGTTCTCATTGACTGAACTTGGCTGAACTGAACTGAACTAAACTTATTAATTAGTGATTTTTAACTACGTAGTAGTGATCTTTGATTATTTATTATTATACATATGTGTATATATAAATATACATATTAAAATTTTAAGAAAAATACACTATATTATTAAAATATTTATGGAAAATATAGTAATAACATGAATTGAAACCCCAAAACATTTTAAAAACATATACCTGTTTAATTAAAAAATAAAATTAGTTTAATTTGTGTAGTACTCTCAATTTGCCAATGAGTTTAACAGTAAAAATGTGTATAAAAAAAATATAACCATTTGAACAATGAATTGTATCATTATTATTATTATTATTATTATTATTATTATTATTATTATTATTATTATTATTATTATTATTATTATTATTACTAGTTTTGTCTCACGTGCGATGCCAAGGTTGTTTATGGAATTTTAAGATAAAATTATATTATAATTCAATTTAATTGATTAAAAATAGAATTCTTAATTAACTTTTTTTTTTATATAAAGCTATCTATATTTATCCAACGTGGTACGACACTTGGCGAAAAGTTAAAATGTTATACGATGTTGTCTTGTGGCCTAATTATAAGTTTATTATTGGTATTTTATCGAAAATAAAACTCTAAACTAACCATCTTATTCTAAAGTTCTATCCTAATTTGATTGAAAAAAGAATTTTTAACAACTTTTTTATCTTATGAATCTATTTAAATCTATCCAAGGTGGCGCAACACTTGGCGAAAAGTTAGAATGCCAAGTGTCACTATTTCGAGACCTGGCTAAAAGTTTAGCTTTATATATTAGTTATATTATTATTATTATTATTATTATTATTATTATTATTATTATTATTATTCTTATTATTATTATTATCATCATCATCATCATCATTAAAACCTACAAATTCAATCAATTTACAAGAAATTGGTAGGGAGCCGAGATACAATCTAGGTCCCTACCCTTCTAGCTATAGCAAACACGATCCTACTGAAGATGTGAGCAGCTGCACGAACACCAATATTCTGATTCTTAGCGAACGCCTGAACCCGTTTCAGCAACGCAATAGCATCCTTATCTAATTCCCCTAACGAAGAAAAGGAGAAAGAAAGAAAACCATAGCCAATAGCCCGCAACGTGCTCCATATTTGTCCCGCTTTCGCAGAGCTGCCACCGACACAACACGACCAGGAACGAAGTTAGACAACCCCGATTTGTGTCAAAGGTGAAGACCCCGTTAAGTCGACATCTACACCACGACCTCTATCCAAGGAATAAAGCAACACATCTGCTGGCCGTAGCGCCCTGTCGTTCCCTCCAGTTAACCCAACGTTAACCTCCTTTCGAGCAGAAATCCTGGACCGAAAACAAATATCAACAAGGGTGTCACGAACAACGTTGTGCCGATGCTTAATACCTACCATCCCAGCACAAGACACTGCATGATCCCCATAAATATCTCCATCAAAAACCCTTGAGCAAGCAGAACACGGTGTTAAACGGAGAACAAAGGAACACCCAATTGATAACAAAGAACACTACGGAAAGAGCTTGTTATTATTATTATAGGTTTTGTAATAACAGCTTAAAAGAATGAAATTTGGCTTTATATCATTAGCAATATCATTAGACATAAACTGAACTGAACTGAACTGAACTGAAAATAAACGTATGGGAACATGACCTAAATTGTAATAATTTAATTATTATCTAAATCTTTAATTATAGAAAGAATTAAAAAACAATCACATCTTTAGGAAAATATCATACTCCCTCCGTGTTTTTTTAAGTGTTACACTTCCTTTTTTGTCAAAAAGCTATATTAAAATATTATATCTCTCTCCTCTCATGGTCCCTTCCCAAACCCACTACTACTTTTTTTTATTATATCTTTCCTCTCACATTCATTACTTTTCAATAAACTATTAACCCCACTATCTTTCTTTTACAATTTTTTAATACTCTAATTACCCCACTTACCTCTTATTTTATTTAAGTCAATTAAATTGCCTAAAACTATGTGCCGGTCAAACTATAACACTTTAAAAAAACACAGAGGGAATATAGATTATCAACATAAGATTTTTAACCACAATTTTTTTTATTTCCTTCTAGAAAATCTTTTATAAATAACGACTTTAATTGTAATAAATTAATTATTGTCCAAATATTTAAATATAGAAAGAATAATAAACAATCACATCTTTAGGAAAATATCATATAGATTATCAACATAAGATTTTTATTAATTATTTTTGCCAAGAAAATTATTTTGATGATCAATATCTACGTAGAAAAAATCAATGACTGACTATCTATAGCTATATACTAAATGAGAAACCAGAAATGACACGTGTCATCCATTTGTTAAAAAAATTTCCTCCAAAACATTTTTTTTTGGTGACAAGTTATTTTGTTTTTCTTAGAGAATATTTAATATGAAGTATTACACTTGAAATTAATCCCTTCCTATGAAATATGTATATTTTATTTATACACATTCCACAAATATATTACTCTTTTGTTTAATACAAAACTATATACCAAACAATAATATTTTTCTATATATAACTTTTTGATGTATGTATTTTATAATTACTTTTTATTAGTTGTGTATGTAATACTCCTTAAGTTTTAGTGTATTTATTTAGTATGATATAATTTTATTTTTATTTTGTAATAATTACAAAACTTTCATTTTATATTGCAATTACATTTAAATTTTTTTAATTAGACACAATGTTAAACTAATGATAAATGGTAGAAATTATCGCGCATAGCACGGAATCGAACCTAGTGATCGACTAATTATGAAACATGTGGCCTTTAATTTAAAGGTTTTAAGTAAACATGTTTTAAATATTTTTAGATATTTCCATACACCAAAGCTTGTATCAATTCTTTGTAAGTTTTTTAGATTTTTTTTATAAAAAAAACAACTAAAAATTACTTTTAAATATTATATCTCTCTCCTCTTATGATCCTCACCCAAACCTACTATTACTTTTTTATTATATATTTCCTCTCAAATTCATTACTTTTCATTAAATTATTAACCCCATTATCTTTCTTTTACAATTTTTTAATACTCAAATTACCCCTCTCATCTCTTATTTTATTTAAGTCAATTAGATTGCCTAAAATTATGTGCCGGTTAAACTGTAACAGTTATTAAAACACGGAGGAAGTAATTAAATTGAAACTGAGTTTACAACAAACGAAAGGAGAGTAAAGTAACATAAGTTACTATTGGCATAGGGGGCGCCCTAGTTTCTCTTCTTGAGAAACAAGAAATGTTTCTCTAGTGGCAAATGTGTAATAAAAACGCCTAGGGAATTGTAAACAAATGGTTTTTAAAGCTGAATAAATGCTTACTATGAGTTCCATTGAGGCAAGTCACGTGGACTATTGCAGACGACGTTAGATGGTAACGTTAGCGGCGTTCCATTGCAACCTTGTCTTCACCTCCACCTCCACCAACACAAAGACCTCCATCGACAACAAAAACCTCCACCATCACCTTCCTCTTTCGTCCCCACCGACACCATCATCTTCCTCTTTCGTCTACACCGGGGACAACCACCATTATAGGCAGCAAAAATAGGCGGATTCGCCGCCAAAATAAAACGAAAAACCTAATAAGAAAGGTAAAATAATTTATGGCATGATCAACCCCAAAAGGTAAGGGTGACCTTCCCCATTGAAGCTATCATCGAGCTTGAATTCCTCCATTGAAGCTGTCATCAAGTTTGAATTCCTCCTTTTAGACTCAATTTCCTCCATTGAAGCTTATTCCTACTTCTAGCCATCCTTTTAATTGATCGACACCTCGAATTGGTCTCCTACTTTCGATGATTTATCGTCGGAGGTGGGAACTATATTCTGGGCAGTACTCACGACAGAGGTAAATTGCAAAAGGGGGTAAGTTGAACAAGGGGGTAACATTAGGTTCACTTTGTTAACAGATAATTCCAAATTTACCCTCATGACACTAGTAGAAAAATGGTAATTGGCACCGAGTTTTGGCCATCGGTTCTTAAGAACTGGTGGGAAAAATGGGAGGGATTTTAAGAGAAGAGTATTGCCACTAGTTCAAACCGAACCGGTGGGGAAAATGTTAATCCCACCGGTTTTGAACTAGTGGCAAAAGTTAAAAAAAAAAAAACCGGTTCATCTCTCAGCTTTATAACCCTAAAGTCCCTAACTTGCTTCTCTCTCCGCCTCCTTCATTCCTTATTTCCTCTGATCTCCCTCTCTCTCCTCTCCCTTCTCTCTCCTCTCCCTTCTCTTTCCCTTCGATCTCCTCTCTTCGATCTCATCTCTCTCTCTCTTCGATCTTTTTTCATCTCCCCTTAGATCTTTTTTCATCTCCGCAACAACAGCAACACCACTGTCGCAAAGACGCCACCACCACCACATCATCACACCATAAATTTCGACCGGCACCGCAAAGCCCACCGACATCAACATCAACAACAATTTCTAGGTATAATTATTCAAAGCTAGGTTTTAATTTATAGGTTTAATTCGATTTTAATCGATTTTGTTGGATTTAATATTGGGTTTGAGTAATCGATTTTGGATTTAATCGACTTTTTTGGGTTTATTTAATCGATTTTTGGATTTTAATTGGATTTTTCTCGATTTTTCTGGGTATAATTATTCGAATTTGATCGGTTTTGTATTTTAATTTGATTTTCTCGTTTTTTCTGGGTTTAATTTTGGGTTAATTAATCGATTTTTTTTGGGTACATGCATGTGTTTTCAGGGTTTTTTAATTTTGAGTTTTCTGGGTTTTTTAAAAAATAAATTCCAGGGATTTAGTGGGTTTTTTTTTCAATTTTTTTTTATAATTTTGAGTTTTCTGGCTTTTTTATTTATTATTATTTTTAGTTCGTGAGTCATCTTCGTCGAATTCAGGGTCGGAGGAGAAAATTGATGGCGGATACTGCTTCTGCAATTCAGCTACTGAGCTCATGCTGTTCTGCTTCTCGTCGAATCCATTTATTTTGTTTGTTTTGTTTTTGGCAAGTGTAAAATTATTGATTATGAATTTCAATTATATTATGTATTAATGTATTATGTATATATATAACATTTTGGTGATTATGAATTTCAATTATATTTGGTGTAGCATTTGGTGTGTAATTACTGATTATGAATTTCAATTATATTTGGTGTTGTATGAGTTTTCTGCTAATTTTTAAGTGAAAAAAGACAATTTTTTTGGACATTTTTGGCACCGGTTAACCGGTGACAAAAGGGGGGAATTATATATTTTTTTGGGTATTTTTGGCACCGGTGAACAGGTACCAATAACAAGTTTTCCCACCGGTTCAAACCGGTGGCTTTTCATGCGATTATTAGCAGCCCTCAATTACTCACTGGTTCAAAACCGGTGGCATTGAGGGGTTTTGAACTGGTGCCAATCTTGTTTTTTCTACTAGTGTGAGAAACGCTTGTTGTTTATCAAGAAGAGAAAGTTGGAATTACTCATTAGCATAAGAAGCACTTACACAATACTAATTAAGGTCATTAACAATATTTACCTTTAAGCTATTGCAACGAGTGAGGACAACGCATATAAGTTTTACCAATATACATTTAAACATGTGATGGGACTATTGATAGAACAAGGGGAGTTGGTGATGATATGATATTTCGTAATCTGTAAGGTATTTTCTAACATACAATTAAAAGTCTATGAATGTTGTTGAAATGACGGAGACAGCCAAAATCAATATGCTTTACCCTAAGGGACCTCAATAATTCAAATGGATAAAATCTTCTTGAGATCTATGCTGCATACATGTAAGTCACATTTCTTTGCGATCTAACAAAACCATATATTACACTTCCTCCGCCCCATAATATAGTTCCTATTGTGTTTTTTTCACGATATTTAAGAAATGGTACGAGAAGCGGAAAAATCTAGACAACAGTTAGACAAAATTACAAGGCAAGTGGATAAATTAAGAGGAAAAAAGTGAAAAGTACAATTATAGACAAAAGTTAGAGAGATAAAGTTTAAAAAGTACAATGCAAGTATAAGTTAAGGGTAAATTAGGATGTTTAATGAATAAAGTAAAAAAAAGGGTATAATGGTCTTTACATACTATTCAAAGTAAAAAAAGGAACAACTTTTCAGGTCTCTAAAATAGAAAAACAGAAAATATATTGTGGGACGTGTAGGCGTCGCTCGAAGTGCGCCTACGTAAAAGCATTTGTGAATATGCTTGACACTCATAGGAAGTGGGAATTGACATAACACGATTAGGGACAAGGAAAGTAAGGAGCCGCCAACAAGTTTTTAAGGAACTTGTAAACCGTTCACGGATCATAAATGGCAACCACGATTAAGGGACAACGATAAGCAACAACGATTGACCCGTGAAGGTTACACCCCATTCATAATCCATGAGATTACTAACTCCGTATGGTTTGGAACCACAAAAGGAGGATCGGGGATGATGGTACGAAGTGATTCATGGAGTCACATTCGCCCGTATTGGCCTCTACTCGATTCTTATAGTGAAAAGTGATTCCTGCGATCTCAAAAGCATACAAACAAAATATTCAATTTGCTCCAAACTATTATTACGCTAAATTGGTTGAATATTAATGCAACATATAATTTTAAAATATTTCTGATCACTTTAATTAACAACAAGACTAAAAAGGAACCTAAACCGGTTGTCCAAATTATCTTATTAGGCGTGATTTTCAATTACATATTCCCTTTAAACATGCAATATAGTGATCATAATAACAATAGAATTAACATTAATATTGGAAGCAATTTGACAATAATAGCGTTAGTCAAATCAAATAATAATAAACCTAATCATGATATTAGCAATATTAAAAAAAGTAATTAAATTAATTAATCACATTCCGCGCGTTCCTTTAAATTGCTACATCATGAATAAATTGTTAGTAACTTCAATAAAATATAAATCAAATTGAAACAATTAAATTAAATAAAAAGTAGAGTTGATTTGGTCCAAACCCTCAGTTAATTCTACCTTACACGCCTTGGTTTAAGTATAGAACTTTGGGTTAAGTATGAACTCTTTGGAGTGCTTAAGGGAAGAATGGTGTAATTAGGAATATATGATTAAGGCTTAGAATATGGGAGAGAGATAAGAGAATGATTTTTGGTGTAAAAGAGAGAAAGAGAGAAGGATTTGATGATCAAGCTTGTTGATGATTGAAAAAGGGGAGATATGACCTCTATTTATAGATAAAAAAGAAGGGTCGAAAAAACAAGATAAAATCCGAATTAAATCGAAATAAAACTCGATAGACTGCAATTTTTGCGGTTTTTGTTTTTATCATATCTTTTGATCCAGATATAGGAATAAGATAAATAAGATATATTTGGAAAGCTCTTGAATTATACTTTCTAACCCAATTAGAATCAGATCAAAATATTGTGTAGAATAAAAGATATGAACGAAATAGTGAGACGGTGTCAGTTTTGGATAGAGTTTGACATTTTATTCATATCTTTTCTGTTATAGCTCGGAATTGATATAATAATATATCATTGGAAAGATAATTTCAAGGGATATCCAAACATCAAATATTTGGATCTATGAGTCACGAAAATAATATCTGTCTATCTTTGAACGTCTATCAATTCGAATAGAATTAGGACTTTAAAAAAAAGGAGTTTTATTCAATTTCAAACTATTTAATCTTATCTTTTCAAAAGGATAATTCAGATATTTTAGAAACTTATAGAATTTTCTAATTAATCCTAATTGGTTTAGGAATGAGATCAAATAATTTGGACCCTCCACATGATTATTGGGTCGTAGGTAAGGTGGGCTTAGGTTCGGTTTGAGCTCAGTTTAATATTTTGGTCATAACTTTATCGTTATAACTCGGATTTGGGCTTATAATATATCTTTGGAAAGCTCTTTTCAAACCCCATCAAAATATTTAATCATTGGACACAAATTATGGACCAAAACAAATTGACTAAACGTTTTTATAAAAAGGACACGGAATGATTGATTTTAAAGGACACAAAATGAATTATTTTGGGTTTAAAGGCACGAAAAGAGGAAAATAAGTTATGGTTCGGGGAAATGGGCTAGGAGTTGGGGATTTTTATGAAATGGAAATATGGATTTAAGCACTCCAAGATTAAATACTCAACCCGACCAATAATGGCGGTGAAAGGTTTTTCATCATCGGGTTTGGTTTTGGGGAGACATTTTTAGGTGTCTACAGAAGCCCCCACTTTGACTGAGTTTGTAGAAACGTTAGTTTCGAAAACGATAGTCAAATTATTCGATTGGGACGGAGAATGATTTAAGACGTTCTGCGATCCTAAATCACTCTATATACACCGATACCTGCAGAAAAATGTTAAATCTACATATAAAAGAGTAAAGGGATAGAATGCTTATCTGACACCAGTGTATCAGTGACAAAAGTGTTTGGTAGCCTCCTATGCTTGAAGGAATCCACCGGATGACGTTTGTTGAAAGGCTTTCCATGCTTGAGGAAAGCCGACAGACGAGTTTGGTAGCTTTCTAACCTGAAGAAACCTACCGGATGATACTTTCCATGCTTGAGGAAAGTCGACATATGAATTTGGTGTTTTTCTATGCTTGAAGAAACCCACCGATAATACTTTCCATGCTTGAAGAAAGTCGACAGATGATTTTGGCAGCTTTCGATGCTTGAAGAAATCCATCGGATAATACTTTCCATGCTTGAGGAAAGTCGACAGATGATGAGATTGCAAGTCTCTGTGTATCAAGAACCTTGCATCATGAAATGATGGTGGTTTGATTTTCCCCGAACGTGGGCTGTAGTTGGTTCGCTTGTCCCCGAACGTGGGCTGTAAATGGTCCGCTTGTCCCCGGACGTGGGATGTAGATGGTCCACTTGTCCCCGGACGTGGGCTGTTGATGGTCCGCTTGTCCCCGGACGTGTGTTGTAGATGGTCCTCTTGTCCCCAAATGTGGGATGTAGATGGTTCGCTTGTCCCCGGACGTGGGCTGTAGATGGTTCGCTTGTCCCCGAACGTGGGTTGTAATTGGGACCTGTAAAATAAAATTTTCCAAGGGACTCGTATAGATTGTGATTGACTTGACCAACTGACTTGACCAAGTTTGACTTGTCATGACATGACATGTGTATAACTTATGGTTGTGTGTGTAAATGGTGTGTGTGTGCAAACACAAGCAACCTAAAATGCAAAAGCAAAAATTTTACGTCATTTTTGTCATGAGACAAGTGGAGGGTACCGACTTTCTCCCAAAAAAGAAAGACGTGAAAACTGAAATTTTATTTTTGAACTTCCCTCGACGAGAAAACTTTAAAAAAGTTTTTGAACTTCCCCAAAAGAAAAGACATGAAAAAGGGAAGAAAGTTTGAACTTCCTCGTTGAGCAAGACAAAAATGAATCGTATGGATTGAATTTCTTTTCTTGAAGATAATGTATGCATGATGCATGTCCTTAGGCCAGGAGGCTAAGGACAATTACATCATGTGACACGATAGATGAATGAACTTAGGTCATGGAGCTAAGCATCATATATGGTGTTAAGAAGCGATCTTGAACATCACTTAGGTCTAGAAGCTAAGCACGTATATAGATGAAGTGATTATGAACGTTTCTTAGGTCAAGGAGCTAAGAATGATATGATTTGTATGATTACAAATCATTGATATTATGAGATACATGAAACAATGAACATTGCACAGGTCAGGAAACTAAGCAAGTATTCAACGTTTCTTCTAATGAATGTTGTCTTGAAAGATGATGAAGCATGCGCGATAGGGAAACAAGATTTCATGATAAAGGGTTCCTAAGGGAAAGATGATATGGATATGTATGTGTGAAAGAAGTGTGTGAAAGCGATACTAAGGTGAGGCTGCAAAGCCTATGGTGAGGGAAATATATGTGAGAAGAGTCAAGATGGTGACTTTTTAGGCTAGGTAGGCTTAATTATGTAGGTTCAAGCCCCCCAAGTCTAGCTCTAGGTGGATAGGGTCATAGGAATAAGCATTGGATATTCTTTGACTCGATCATGCATATGAATGTGGCCGCACCTCGATGTGAGGTTGCCTACGTATCCGTTAGGAATCAGGCCGAACGTAGCTCTAGCCGAACT